GGGGGGGAGGAAGAGGAAGGAGGAGGGGGGAAGGAGAGGGGAGGAGAAGGTGGAAGAGGATGATGCACGGACCAGCGAAGCATACATCGAAATCACTGTGTAAGACGAGTTACATGTACAGGGTGTCGACGCTGGCGAGCCCGAATGTAACAAGTCCATCCACGGGCTAATGTTGACGGAGCATGGCCACGAGAAAGCAATCGGGGGACAAGCATGGTTGCCGCAGCTCTGAAATCACGCCAATTGTCACAGATCTGCTCAAACCGCGTAAGCTGACCGGTGAACACACCTGCAGGCTGATGAGATGGAATGTTCGACGTTGCACTAGGATATCGTATAACAGGAAAATCCCACGCAACAGTCTTATCAAACACACTCAATCGGAGAGATCCATCTGCCCGTGTCTGCAGTTTCGCACCTGAAAAGGTGCACGAGCCATCGGCCGCAGTGGTCTCTTTCCATTCAAGACCATAATAGGCTGGCGATGGTGGCAGACAATCAAAGGTAAGAACATCATCAATGACCCGATAAGTGAAAACATATCGGCGGGCTGCAGAGGGATCCACACACTGCAGGTTGTCCACGAACTGCGCCTCATCCCGGGAGAGTGTGAGGTTAGCAATCTCAGGACCAGCGTTTGTACCCATTGGCATACCAACTACTTGGTGTCAAACAAGGCCATCCGCTGTATATAGATATGTATTAGCATCAATAAACCGAAGATGTTGAAGAATGTCAGACACAGAAAGAGTGTCAGGTCCCGTATCCGTAGTCCATTCCCCTGCACGCGGTCCACAGACCACCATACGAAGAGGAACAGGGGATGAATGTGTCCGTCTATGTTGGCGTGCCTGTGCAAGAGCATAGGCATGTGCCTCATCAATGGCATTAGCAACATTGTTAAGAATCCGTTGTTGAGAAAGATTAGCATACATAGTAGTGAAATTGACCGTATGAGGGGCCAGACCTCGGAGAGAAGCTTGATTCTTTTTAAGGTCAAGCATGACCTCGTCACTACTGCTCTGGACAATCCAACATCATCGAATACCTTCAGATTGGAAGAGTTGATTATCTTTTTCGCGAAGAGTACGGATGACGCCTTGAAGTGCCGCACTCAAACGAGCTGCCCGGTAAAGCTTAAGGCAGAGAGGGACAAGAGGGAGAAGAGGACAACAAACGAGGGGCTGTGACAAGCTGTTCCGTCGGAGTTTCACCGACTCATCAGGAGCCTGAACCCTCAACAGTCTGCAGAATCCCCTACCTGATTACACTGTAAGTGAAATATATGGATAGCCCGAGGCCAGTCAGTTCAATGATGATATCTCAAGGCCGTCACCCTTCTCAAAACAATAAAAACCAAAACGAACTTGAGGTTTGTGATGGTTTGTCGCTCAGACTGTGAACGGTTTGGATTCAACTTCTGCCAGTCTGTGATCATGAGACCAAAACTGTGAGTATGCTCTGCTAAACTACCATCTTCTGCGACCAGAAGATACGGGAGGTCATTATCCCTGTATCTAGACTGAAAGTTGCCACAAATACAGGTATAAATAACGACTCTACGATCTATTCGGCGGACAACAGTAAAAGCCCGGGACAAAAACATTGGCACGACCTCGACGGGTGAAATGACTGTGGCTCTTTCTTTGCAAGCGGCGTTCCGAGACGAGGGAGATTAAAGAAGGATGGACAATTGATAGTGGGGGAGATGTGTTCTTTTGCTAGCATTGGCTGGGACTGTGAATTTGAAAGTATGTTCAAGAATCTACTTTCCTTGGGTTCTTTCATCCTTGAATCAATAATGGGAAGAAGGGGAGATTACAACGAACAGAAGATTTTGTCATTCTTAAATGAACAACTTGGGATGGAGAAAGACATGGCAACAAAGGGAACAAGTGTACCATTATTGTTACTTCACTCTTCTTCCTTGTTGCAATGATATAAATGCAGCTACTACTTCATGCAATGATATATTCACAGAGACATCATAGCCAAATACATCTGGCCAGGAGCAAATCATTCAATGTCTCTCTCTCTCTCTCTCTCTCTCTCTCTCTCTCTCTCTCTCTCTCTCTCTCTCTCTCTCTCTCGATTCTTCTGAAATATGATGCTCTACTAAAGGATCCCAGCAAATTTATAAAGACGAACGAGTGACCGAGAGTCATCAAAATAGAATGGCTCACTAAGGTAGGGCATACTTCAGGTCTTTCAAAGCTTTCTCATGGTTGGGCAACCTCGCTGTACAAACCAGCGGGTGAGCCATGTGTGAGGTCCCAGGCCTCGGCGTTCGTCCGGAAAGGCCTCCCGTCGAAAATACAAGTAGGCCCTGCGTGAAGGTCACGCCTGAGAAGTACTGGGCCCGACTTGGAGTCCATCCCCGGTAACTACCCACCAGGCCCATGTCGGGATACCAGCCAGGTAGTTACATGGGCTGGAGCCCAGACGAACGAAGACGCAGGCAGTAGGGACTGCCTACCGGAGGCTTGGATCTCGGCCTCAAGTAAGACAAAAGAGAGGACGCCAGGCAGAATGGGGACATTCCAGCAGAGGCCTCGCACAGCGGCACTGGGACAAGACGTGCAGCCAGTAAAACGCCCTTGAGGAGGAAGACCTCATAGCGGTGGCTGCCTGTCTCCATGTGCCATAGCTGGGCAGCGCAGGGCTGGAAGCACAGGTGGAGGAGGGGATTAGGGAATCGAGGCGGCATTGAGGCTTTTTGCAGAAACCACCAGGCAAAATGGGTCACATGCGGGACGCCGAAACCCATCCACGCAAAAAGGGTTGCATGCGGGCTGCCGAAACCCATCCGGGCAAGGTGCATTGGATGGGACGCACCGGGATGCCATTTCGCCCGAAATCCATCCAGGCAAAATGGGCCACATGCGAGGCCTGATCTGCCCGGATGGATTCTGCCTAAATGGCATACTGGTACATCCCGCCCAGTGGGTCGCATGCAAGGACTGATCTGCCTGGACGCATTCTGGGCCTGATCTGCCTGGGTGAATTCTGGGCCTGATCTGCCCGGATGAATTGTGGGTGAAATGGCATATACTGGTTCATCCCGCCCGACAAGCCTGCGTGCACAGTGCATCTCTGCAAAATGGCTGGGAAAGGTACTGGTAGTTTAAGCAAAAAATAATTATTATTAATTGTTAATAATAAATGTAAACAGACCTACCTACACGGTGGTCTGCTACTGTTATAGACGCCGACCAGCCTGGTCCCATCATTGCAGAATGGGCCAAGGGGCCCTCATGCCAGCATTTAATGGTCAAGGAGGGTCGAGGGAAGGGGATGGCAGGGGATTGCAAAGGTTCGCCAAATGACAGAGCATAACGAATGAGGCTCTGTGGCTGTGCGTGCGTTGACACACAGCTGGGCCACTGGGTGTTCGTCGGGTCAATGACGCATGTGTCACTCCCATAGGGCACTAGGCTCGCATTCAGGACCCCCATTCGTTTCCATATAGGGGTATCCACAGCCTGTGCTGGCATGCATAATGTCATCCTTAGTGTAGAGAGCTGGCTCGACCAATGATGAGCCATAAGTGACAAATATTGCGAGGATGTGGCAAATGTGTGGCCAAAGACAGGACATCATCGGAGAGTAAGTGAATGCATCGCCCCGAGCAGCAGGTACATCAAGACCACCGATAAAACATGCCTCATCCAAATAAGGCACAAGGTTGGTAATCTGGGCCTATAGTGGTTTCCATAGGATACCCAAAGTGTGGAGTTGCACAATCCCATCCATCCAGGGTGCAGAGATGAGGGTGCGCAATGGCGAGCCGTAGCCGCAGAATGCCATCGCAAACAATTGCATCATGCCCAGTCTCAATCAACATTCTACAGACCATGTCAGGGCCCCTCGAGCACATACAGAGGGCCACCGGAGCTCTTGCGTCAAGCAAAGGATAAAAGCGCAAGCTTCGTCTACCCCATGTGCAAGGTTTTCCGGAATCCGAGGATTGCCCACACATAATGGCAAAGCCAAACCACCTGTGGTGAGAGGAAAGCCCGCTGTCACCTCCACCACCTCATGGGTGTAACATCTCAAACCGAAAAGAAAAGGGGGCTAAAAAGGGTCATCCATATCCATTATCCAATGAACGAAAAAAAATCCAGTGGCACAGGGCGTGGGTATTATTTCACACAGGGGCTTCAGTTTTACCCGTCTCTTGCACCATACATTGTCACAAGAGTATCAGAGTGCAATACGAACAAAAAAGAGCCGCCCGGTAACCCATAGGCAGAGAGAGGGAGGGAGAAGAGGACAACAAACGAGGGGCTGTGACAAACTGTTTCATCGGAGTTTCAACGACTCATCATACAACTGCCCGTTAAGCCGTCGGCAGAGAGGGAGGGAGAAGAGGACAACAAACGAGCGGCTGTGACGAACTATTTCATCGGAGTTTCATCGACTCATCAGGAGGCTGAACCCTCAACAGTCTGCAGAATCCCCTAACTGATTACACTGTAAGTGATAATCCACCTTAACCCCGATTGTGGTTAAGCATCACCGACTGGCTGACAACTGATACCCCTCTGAGGTGGTGGGGACCACCAACCACTGCCCTCAAGGTACCCATGACGAAAATCAACGCAGACTATCACTCACCCACACCAGTTGGAAAACTCTACAGACTGCCGGTTCACACCCCATCACAAGTCAGCAAAACACCAACGAAACAAAGAAAGGTCTGTCACAGCCAAAAAAAATACACTCCAGACATGCCGCCGCTGGCACTACAGGCACAGCATGGCGGGGTGGTGACGGGCCCGACCACTGCCGCTCGACCTGACAGGAGAAAACCGTAGCAGGGTGCTAGCGAAGTCGTGGTATATATCGTCAAGCAGAGCTGCCCAGTAAACCATAGGCAGAGAGGGAGAAGAGGACAACAAAGGAGGGGCTGTGACAAACTGCTTCGTCGGAGTTTCACCGACTCATCAATCAGTAGAGGCCGAACCCTCAACAGTCTGCAGAATCCCATAACTGATTACACTGTCATTGATAATCAACCTGAACCCCGTTCGTGGTTAAGCATCACCGACTGCCCGACAATACATAGATAGATAGTTAGATAGACAGAGTGTGTGTGTGTGTGAGTGTGAGAGAGAGAGAGAGAGAGAGAGAGGACAATGATTCCTCTTCTCGTTGCATTCAAAAAAAAAAAAAAAAAAAAAAAAGAAGAAGAAGAAGGAGAAGAAAGGAAAGAAAAAGGAGAGAGAGTGGGTCGTGTTGGGTCCGATGATGTTCTCAAACGAAACGTAGTATGACTATATTTCTGAGCTGCTCTTCTATGTCCAGATCTTCTTCGACTCATTCTTTGATTTCCTGTTTTTCAGCTATTATATACCTTTCTACTCATCTTCAGCTCCCTGCCCGGCTGTTCATCTTTGATTTCCTTCCTTCCTCTTTCGACTGCCAGCCATCTCTTCTTTGTCGACGTCAACCATTTCTCTCTCCTACACTTTCGACGTATCTGTTAGAGGCAATCACTTACCAGACGGAGGTAGTGTCCTGCATTCATGGAGTGCTGCCGCTCATCGTAAACCAGCCGAAAGAGCGAGTAAAGGTCACAACGGTCATAACACCGCGTTGCTGAGATGTCCCGCATTGCGCGAACAACGTAGTCCACATCGCTTGTGAACGGTCTCAAATGCTGCAAGAACCCAAAGACACCAAAAAAACGAAGGCACCGGCATGAGGCACTTTCCACAAGAGGGTCACACACAACCTAGTAGTTCAGGGGCGAGGTCCCAGTAGGATTGGATTGGTGCAGAAAGCCGCCAGGGATCTTCTTTTCTGAATAATAGCATAAAAAACATCCAGGTTCAGGCGCTTCATCCGATCCTCTTTGTTAGTAAGACCTACCCCCCCCCCCCCTCCCCCCCCCTTGTCACGAACACGCTCACAAACTCGCCCGCCTTGCCAACATAACATGCTGTGGGGATTATCTTCGAGAACGGCGGAGAGGATTGGAGAGGAGAGCAGGGGTTCCGAGGGGTTGCTACTAAGTGTTAGAAACATGCACGGGGGAGGCAATAGTGTGTGTGTTTTTCAACATCCCCAAACTGGCTCTCCCATTCCATCCACATATCACCACAGGCCATCCATAAACAAAAAAAAGTATAGATGAGCACTATAATAGAAGGTGCAAGGTTCCCCACGTCTGTGTGGTTGAGCGGGAAGTGCCCACACTCTGTGTGTGTGTGTGTGTGTGTGTGTGTGTGTGTGTTTTGTTTTAAAAGACCCCAGATTCGCTCTCTCATTCCCTTCACAGATCATCACAAGCCATCCATAACGAAAAAGTATAGATAGGCAACAAAAATAAATAATAATAAATGCGACGTCGGCCACGTGTGTGTGGTTCAGCGCCAAGTGCCCACACACCCGTCTGCCGCCATAGCGGCACACTTGCACATACATACATATGTAGTATGTAAACATAATACATACCATAAGGGGATGGAGGGCAGAAGGCAACTTACCTAAGACAGAAGAGTGTGTGTGTGTGTGTGTGTGTGTGTGTGTGTGTGTGTGTGTGTACTGTGGATGATCAAAGGCCTGCACAAGTGCCGAACCTCTCAGGTCTAGCTGGCCTTGGCCTGAATTCACAGAGCCTGCCAGGCCTGAATTCATAGAGCCTGCCCAACGGTTCTTGGAGCAAGGGTCCCCATTAGCACAGAACTGGATTGACCGCCTGAATCTGGATGCGTTTTGAGCAGAGATGCAGAGCAAAAACACAGCTCTATCGTAGTTTTCTGCACCTCGCCACAACCAGGTCCAGATTCAGAGGTTAAATCAAAATCCAGACCTGCGCAAGTGCCGAACCTCTCAGATATGGCTGGCCTTGGGCTGAATTCCCCGACCCTGCCCGACGACGGAATCCTGGAGCAAGGTCCCAGTAACAGAGAAATTGGATGGAGAGCGCCTGAATCTGGATGGATTTTGAGCAGAGATGCAAAAAGAACAGATCTATAGTGATTTTCTGCCCCTCGCCACAAACAGGTCCAGATTCAGACGTTAAATCCAATCCTCTTTGGTAGTGGCACCTCGCTCCAAGACCTGTTTACGGGTCCTTCAGGAAAAGCAACCAGCTCCGTATCCACCGAACCGAACCATGCATGTTTCCTGAAGGAGTGCACCTCCTCTTTCCTCATTTCACAGAGACGTCGGGGCCAAGCCCCACTAGCAGCGCTGCGTTTCCTAAACGCCTGAATCTGAACGTGATCGTGGAGATGTGCAGAAATTGCGTTGAGTTTCTGTCACCTGCACATCTCCATAAACACGTCCAGATTCGGGCGTCGTTAGGCTGGCAATCGGGCTCAGTCTCCGTTGAAATAAAATTCTGAGATTGGACCAAGTTTATTCTAGATACCGCCACTCTGCTTCTCTCTCTCTCTCTCTCTCTCTC